TCAATTCTGGATAACATTGAAGGGTCATCCCAGCTCTAGGGCTCCCTTGTGAGAACGGCTGAGGCTTCTGCTGCAACTTTATTGGAAGGCAGCTTCTCTTTCCATCCCCTTTTGCTTCCCTCACTCCCTTGTAGGTGTTGTTCTCAAGAGCACTTCTCAATTAAGCTTTTGTAAGCAAATTTCACCACAGTGCCTGTTTTCCAGGGGCCTTGATTTAAGACATGCTCCCCCATGAGATGAACCATCAATAGTGTAAGTAGCTCAAAGGAGGCTTTTTGGAGAACCATCCTCCCAATGCCTAAACAGAAGAAATTTAGTTCTCCATTGTGTGGGCTCTCTGTCTTACTATCACCCCTATGATAAGAAATATGAGTTAAGAAGTTAGACACAACAACTAGAATGATGAAAACCTTTTCAAAACAGAAGTAATATTTTTCAAGAATTGTACAGAAGGCTAAGTGGACGGTTATTGGGTACTGAGAAACCAAGTACTTAAACCAAGATCTTATCATAAGAAAAAAGGAACATGGGCTAAAAGTAAAGAAGTAATGAATCCAAAGCAATCCCGGGATGGCACAAGTTTCCCACAGTGTCGAATCCTCTCTTGTGACAGTGGAAACTAACAGCGTGGAGTCTTCCTCCTCAGTGATTTGCACCAGCAGCCAACCTTTCAAAAGGTGTGGTTTCTCAATACTGACCTCTAAGCAGCAGAGACTAAGCAGCATCCAGCCTGGCCCCAAGACACTTCCTGTCTATACTTCCAGTAGAAGTAATTGGTAGAAGGGCACCAAAACCTCTCCGCCGAGGCTTGTTTTGCCATGTCAGAATCCCAGATCATTTTTGAAAATCACACCTAAAACTGTACAGGTATGTAAAAAAGACCTGTGCTAATTTGGGCTGTTCAGCACAGAGGCAATCTTGTACAGAACATGGGTCCATGGCATATCAGATGTGCTTTGGTTCCTGGATCTGCCATTTTCTAGCTGGGGCCTGATACAAGATGCTAAATCTCTATACGCCTTTGTGTTCTAGCATCTCTTAAGTGGGTATACGTTGAAGACTGATGGCATGTAAAGTGCCTGACATCAAAGTAAGCCAGGGGCAAAACAGGCTATTCTTAGCATAAAATGCATAGTCCTTTTTGTTTTTCCAATGATAACAACAACCTTTGGCCAAAATGTTATTTTACATGAGCTGCCCAATTCTTTCCTTGATGAAAACACATGCCAATTTATTTGTCTTTCCCCATGTCAACTGTACAAATTCAAAAGAGCTGGAGAAGAGTGATCTGTGTTCTGGTTAGTGCCATCCATTATGAACCTAAGTTCCTAGCTCTGTTTTGGACCCCTAAGACAGACAGTGAGATATGGAGCAAAAGGTGGTCGAAGAGAGTGATTTTCAGGCAAAGATTTGAGCCCACATCATGAACAACTTAGAAAGTCACCTTTTGTCCTAAGGGAGAAGTTGGGGAAATGGGAAAAATGGCAGAACACTGCAATGTCTTCTTTCTAAGCAATGTTATATATAGCGTACAATTAGGAGCTTAGAATTTGGGCTGAAACAAACTTTAGCTTAATATCTGGGATTTACCCAGCTTTTACCTGAATGACCTTGGTCAAGTAACTTAAATTCTTTGAACTTTAGTTTCCTTACATATAAAATTATGGTAATGACAATACCTTCCTTCAAGATTGCAGTGAAAATTCAAAAGGATTACATATGTGAAAGTTTTTGGTGCAGCGTCTGGCCCCATAGTACAGCTAACAAAGTCACAATAATGCTAAGAAAAGTAAGAAGCGAGAGAGAGGAGTCCAGGGAAGGAAGGCAGATAGACATAGCTCTCCCCCAACTCAGTGATGTTGGATAGATAGGTCATTTAACTTTCCTGGGCTTGCATTTCCTCATTAGTAAAATGGTAAACTGCTAAAGATTACATAAATGAAAATGGCCTTCTAGTTCATTGATTCAAGACGAGTTTAATAGTCATCACCAAATGACTTAGCCTGCCATGAAGTTATAAAATATAAGATTTCCATGAAATATAGAGAAAATGATAGGCCATGTAAAACAGAAATTACAATAAATTATATGAGTAAATATCTTAGTTTTGGCAGATGTAGCCTATAATCCCTTAATGCATTTTTTCTCCCTGAACTAAGGAAGCCTTTTCAATGATCCTTAAAAAATCAATGCTGCAGTAAATTAATCACAGCCTGCTATTGTGATTGGATTAATGGGAAGATCTTGCTAGGGCTTACATAAAAGCCTAAAGTAAACAGTTACCCAATATACAGATCTACTGGTTTGGACACAGAAATGCTATAAAAGAAAACAACTTAATAAATTCATCTGCTTAAAAAAAAAAAGAAGAAGAAGCTGAAACTTCAGATTCTCTGTCCTTTTACCCCCTTAACAATTTTGTCCAAATCAAATTTAAGTTATTAAAAACATAGATCCCATGGAAGTCATAGGCAAGTTAGCCAATGCATCTGCCCCATTTGCTTCCTGGGGTGATGATGACTTTAGACTTTTTAACATACGTCAGATAAATGTCTAAATTTTCATCAGATTCACTTGTGAATTTAAATTAGCCTCAGAACATTCAACACTGGAATCTTTTAAGCTAAACTTGAGAAAGTCTCTTAAGCTTCCACTGTGATAGAAAGGAAGGTACAGTTAAGAAACTGAGTCCCCACTAATTTGCATGATTCAAGATGTTCAGCATGAAAGTTGAGGGAATGAGGAGTCAATATGCACTCAGAGGTTGCCATAATGCTCTGATTTATCATGTTTTACTTTCCCCACAAAGCAGGAGACAAAATGGGAATAAAGCCAGATGAATCTATCTTTATTAGATTGGGCCCACAATCTCATATTGGGTTTAGATACTGGATTTCCTGCCAGCTTCTCATATTGTCGGCCTATTGCTTTCAAGTAAGCCAGCAATGGCCTGGGATAACAGTGTGTCTGTGGTATGAGACATCTTAAATGGATGACACAATTTCCCTGGGCTCTGCTGCTGGTGGAGTTCCCTAAGCAAGTTAGTGTTTATGTGCTGCTGATGTTTGGGGGCCAGATATGAATGATCTTTGCCTAGACTAATGATATCATCAAAGAAAGTGGGAACACAAAGATAAATATTCTTACAGATGACATTTACTCAGGGACAGCATTGTCTGAGTGAGGAGCTGTTTTCTTTTGGCTAAGAAAGATTCAAGAATTCTTTCTGCACTGATTTTCCCTCTCATTTCCTCTTAGCTTATTATGAAATACACTTGCCTTTGACATATCCCTTATACCCAATTGTGGGATATTCCTCTTTCCCACATCAAATTTGACATATGCTCCCCAAATCCACATGTTGTAGACTTGGTCCTTTAATACTGTTCTGACATAAACTTGATCTGTGTGACTTAAAGCTTCAGTGTGACAAAACAATAAAGCACTTTTCCTTTTCTGTTTAAATTATACTTGAGCCTTGGTCTGGCTACTCTTCTTATAAATGTAAGTTTGATTATAAAAGTCCTAAGGTTTGCTGATAGGTTGAAAAATAGTATTTTTCATTAATTTAAAATTTAAAGACACCATCTGACATGGATGCTGAGAAAACAGGAGGCAATCAAATCTACAAAACTTAGATATTAGCAATGCTTTGTTAAAAATTGAAGTTCCTGGGGCTAGAAGTTGTGGATAGATGGGTAGGTAGAGAGAGGTGAGGGGGCACCACGTTTCTTAACCAGAAGATTCCTTCATCTCCTAGTAACTCCCTCCAGGACTACTGGTCCCCCTGGCATTAGCAGCTGACTGTCCCTTCTGTCCAGCAGTGTCTTGCAGACAAAGACCAGCCTCATACCTGCTGCACTGGTCTCCATCTCTCTGTCCCAGCAATGCAACCACAAACTGATTGGGTAAGGCCCTCCTGACTGGAATGGAGGTTGGCCCTTTCCCCTCCTGACACCCTTTACTCAGAGAGTGGGGCTTCTGTGCACCTTGTTCTGGCTTTCAGGGTAAGTCCAGGGCTATGCTCTCTTGCCCCCATTCCTAACCCCCTACACACTTCTGTGGCTAGCCTTTTTCCATCTTCTTTGTAGATGATTCTACCTTCTACTCTTGGAATCGTAATCTTTCAGCAGTTCTGTTTTCTTTCTTCTTTCTCTGTCTACACTCCCAGCTTCATTTGTCACTAGTAAGTTCAAATATGCAGTGCCAGGGGATTGGTGTTCACAGAGGCTGAACTTCAATTCTGAAGGCAATAAGGGAGAGGATTTTTTGAGGAAAAAAAAAAAAAAGGAAGAGAGACAGCAAGAGGAGAAAGCAGTTAAGTATTATTAGGATGGGATTTTTTTTCATAAGATAAAATTTATTTTAGGTTGTAGGAAGTAGACAGTGAAGAGAAACAGATTGATAATTCAAGAAACTGGGAAAAACTCACAGGGAAGTATTTGGGAGATTAGGAGAGTAAGACATAGCACTGATGGAGTACGCACCCTGAATAGGGAAGAGCTTGCTCTATAGAAGAGTGGTTATCAGAGAAATTACGGTAAAATTGAGATGTGGAGAGTAAGAGAGTTAAAGTTCTGACTTGAATCCTCAGTCTTGTGTAAAAATAGAAGATAATTTATTTTTATTTATTTATTTATTTATTTATTTTGTGAAAATCGGTGAGGAAGGAACCCTGAGAAAAGTGGAACAGGGAATTTTGGACTAGTGACTGGGAGGATGGTGACAGGAGGCCAAAAAGAAAAAAAAGTGTGAAGATAAGGGCTGACTTTGGACTGGAATCAACAGCACCTGGTGTTAGGGAGCAAGACAGGAGGCTGCAGCTGGATGAGAGGTTGCAGCCTGGCCAGGTGGTGATGTTAGGAGGCTGAGGGGCCTAGGTACACAAAGATGAGTGAAGACAATGAAATATGCTGACGATAGGGTATACTGTCTACTATACTTAAGTGCTTTCCCCTCTTGCTATCTCTCATCCTTTTTTTTTTTTTTTTTCTCTAAAGAATCCTCTCCCTCTTTGCCTTCTAACTTCAAGTTCAGCCTCTGTGCACGCCACTCCTCTGACACTGCATATTTGAACTATATGGAAAAATGGAAACTAAAAATGTGCCTGAGGAATGGTGAGAATAGGAGGTTTGGAGGGGACAAGAAAGGTAAGGAAGAGGGAGGTCAGCTTTCCCTCAATGCTTACTTATTGTTCTCTGTTCTCATTAGCTTATCATTTCAGCCCCAATTTCACTAGTAGGTTAAAAGATGAACATGTGTGTGAATAACATCCAGTTTAGTAGTCACCTACTTCAACAGCACATTTTTGCTCCAGCCAACATGAACTCATATGGGAAAAGAGACTTTTTAAGAGGGGAACTAACATGTCTTTCTGAGTAGAGTGAGGAAAGGCGTAGTATCTGCTGTCTGAAAGCAGTAATCTGGGAACTACAGACTTTGACTTCAGGTCAAGGGAGTGAAGGATACCCCTTAAAGGAGGCAGAATGCCAAAGAATAACCTGGCCTAGCCATATTTGCCATATTTGGTCTTACAGGTGTCTGATGCTGAGGTAAATAAATTATTATGAATTTCGATCTAACCTCTGACCCAGGACCGTGTGAGTGCTCAATTAGGGACCAAGAACTGATGGGAGGGAAATTGCCCGCTTAGACCAAGACAGTTCCCCAAACCCAAGTACAGACAGTGCCAGCCCTCAATTGTTTCTTTGTCTTTGGACAGCTGCCAAGTTTTGTCTCAGGAGGTCTTTATTTTCTTTCAAGAGACCAAAAATCAATCACTTAATTCTTGGTGAGGTTAAGGTGGAAGATTAGAACGGATTAGAGTCGATTATAAACACAATCCCTTCTGCCGCGCTTCCTGGGGACCAACAAGCCTGTCAGATGCCTCATTAAAGCAATTACTCTCACAAGCCAGTGATAGGGCATCTACATTATCTATTGACCAGACCTGAGTCTACACTGAAACCAAGCCAGGGAAATTAAGAGAACAAAACAGGAAATAAAATGCCTAAAGGATCTCACAGATCCCAGATTGAATGCACATGGCTCACAAGCAATCTCTCTCTCTCTCTCTCTCTCTCTCTCTCTCTCTCTCTCTCTCTCGTGTGTGTGTGTGTGCGTGTGTGTTTTACTTTAGATCAAGGCTGGCAAGGACCTTCAACTTCTGGAACTGATCAATCTAGATATTAATATTAGACCCACACTTCCTGAGCTAAAAGAACTGAAAACAATGATGGTGATGGTGAGAGGTGAAAGGAAATTTAACAGCAAGCAAATGATAGAAAACTATAGGCCAAAGAGACAATTGAGGCTAGAAAATACTGCTGGTGCCTCTTCCACACCCCATGAAAATGCTGGGCCTCCACGTTGTGATGAATGGCACATCTGCCCTGTTGGCTCCTCTACCAGAGTAGATTCTGTATGAGACATTCTTATTAAAGAATGGCTAAGTGTTTCTTCGACGTGTGGTTTAAATGTTTGCCAGGAGCCAAGTGTGAACTGCGGCTTGGCAGCCTAAAGTCTCTACTGCGTGACCTCAGAATCATTTCAAACTGTCTCTTTATCTTTTATAAATGTTATGTAAGCCAATAACACTGATAAATAATTCTTTTTAACATTGTAAATCTTAGAATGCTGCTTCATTTTTAAAGAATATTTTGGATTGACTGAAGGCACTTCAGGTGAGCTTCTAGTTGTTTCCTGAGCTCCTCTGGTGCCAAAATGTCGTTCATGGCTGCGGTTATTCGGCGGCTGGACAAGACAGTGGTGAACAGCATCACGCAAGGAAAGTTATCCAGCGCCTGGTTAATGCTATCACAGAGATCATTGAGCACCGTTTAGACGCAAAATCCGCAGGTATTCAAGTGATTGCTAAAGAGGGAGGCCTGAAGCTGATTCGGATCCAAGACAGTGGCACTGGGATCAGGAAAGAAGATCTGGATATTGTATGCGAGAGGCTCCCTACGAGGAAACTGCAGTCCTTTGAGGATTTAGCCAGTATTTCCACCTATGGCTTTCAAGGTGAGGCTTTGGCCAGCATAAGCCACGTGGCTCATGTTACTATTACAGGGAAAATAGCTGATGGAAAGTGTGCATACAGAGCAAGTTACTCAGATGGAAAACTGAAAGCTCCTCCTAAACCATGTGCTGGCAATCAAGGGACCCAGATCGTGGTGGAGGACCTTTTTTACAACATAACCACAAGAAGAAAAGCTTTAAAAAATCCAAGTGAAGAATATGGGAAAATTTTGGAAGTTGTTGGCACATATTCAATACACAATTCAGGTATTAGTTTCTCAGTTAAAAAACAAAGACAGTAGCTGATGTTAGATAGTAGCTAATGCTGCAACCGTGGACAATATTCGCTCCATCTTTGGAAATGCTGTTAGTTGAGAAATGATAGAAATTGGGTGTGAGGATAAAACCCTAGCCTTCAAAACGAATGGTTATGTTTCCAATGCAAACTACTCGGTGAAGAAGTGCATCATCTTACTCTTTATCAACCACCGTCTGGTAGAATCAACTTCCCTGAGAAAAGCCATACAAACAGTGTATGCAGCCTATTTGCCCAAACACACACACCCATTCCTATACCGCAGTTTAGAAATCAGTCCCCAGAATGCGGATGTTAATGTGCACCCCACAAAGCACGAAGTTCACTGCCTGCATGAGGAGAGCATCCTGGAGTGGGAGCAGCAGCACATTGAGAGCCAGCTCTTGGGCTCCAATTCCTCCAGGATGTCCTTCATCCAGACTTTGCTACCAGGACTCGCTGGCCCCTCTGGGGAGATGGTTAAATCCACAACACATCTGACCTCCTCTTCCACTTCTGGAAGTAGTGACGAGGTCTATGCCCACCAGATGGTTCGTACAGATTCCTGAGAACAGAAGCTTGATACATTTCTGCAGCCCCTGAGCAAACTCCTGTCCAGTCAGCCCCAGGCCATTGTCCCAGAGGATAAGACAGATATTTCTAGTGGCAGGGCTAGGCAGCAAGATGAGAAGATGCTTGAACTCCCAGCCCCTGCTGAAGTGGCTGCCAAAAATCAGAGCCTGGAGGGGGATACAACAAAGGGGACTTCAGAAATGTCAGAGAAGGGATGACCCACTTCCAGCCCAGGCAATCCCAGAAAGAGACATAGGGAAGATTCTGATGTGGAAATGGTGGAAGATGATTCCCGAAAGGACATGACTGCAGTCTGTACTCCCCGGAGAAAGATCATTAGCCTCACCAGTGTTTTGAGTCTCCAGGAAGAAATTAATGAACGGCGACATGAGATTCTCCGGGAGATGTTGCATAACCACTCCTTCGTGGGCTGTGTGAATCCTCAGTGGGCCTTGGCACAGCATCAGACCAAGTTATACCTTCTCAACACCACCAGCTTAGTGAAGCACTGTTCTACCAGATACTCATTTATGATTTTGCCAATTTTGGCGTCCTGAGGTTATTGGAGCCAGCACCGCTCTTTGACCTCACCATGCTTGCCTTAGATAGTCCAGAGAATGGCTGGACAGAGGAAGATGGTCCCAAAGAAGGACTTGCTGAATACATTGTTGAGTTTCTGAAGAGGAGGGCTGAGATGCTTGCAGACTATTTCTGTTCGGAAATTGATGAGGAAGGGAACCTGATTGGATTACCCCTTCTGATTGACAACTGTGTGCCCCCTTTGGAAGGACTGCCTATTTTCATTCTTTGACTAGCCACTGAGGTGAATTGGGACGAAGAAAAGGAATGTTTTGAAAGCCTCAGTAAAGAATGCACTATGTTCTACTCCATCCAAAAGCAGTACATATCTGAGGAGTCGACCCTCTCAGGCCAGCAGAGTGAAGTTCCTGGCTCCATTCCAAACTCCTAGAAGTGGACTGTGAAACACATTGTCTATAAAGCCTTGCACTCACACATTCTGCCTCCTAAACATTTCACAGATGATGGTAATATCCTGCAGCTTGCTAACCTGCCTGATCTATACAAAGTCTTTGAGAGGTGTTAAATATGGTCATTTGTGCACTGTAGGATGTGTTGTTCATTCTTTGTATCCCGATGTTATTGGGAGCACTTAAGACTTACACCTTGCCTTCTAACTGGTAGCGTTCCTTTATACATGGTGGACTGATTATAAATAAATAGTCAGATGTGTCCTAAAAAAAAAGAATATTTCATAAAATGAGTGAATTATGGTTGAAATTAATAGTGTCAAAATTGGTATTTTAATTCACATAGAAAGGCAGAACATGTAAAGTCATGACTCTCTGTGCTACTACAATATGATGTCCCAGCAAATTTTTTTTAAAGCTTAATAAATACGATATCCTGTCCCTCTCTGCTGGTACAATGGGTTCTGCTATGTTTTCCTTGGGGTTTTAAATTTGGAATTTTTGCTTGGATTTATGGGATTAAAGACACAGCATTAATTTTGCCCTAATATTTAGTTGTTTTTTATTTTTAACTCTCTTCTTTAAGAAATAAAAATTAATAAGAGCAGAAACGAGACAGGGACATTCATTGGGTAACTCAGTCAGAGACTGGGTTGCTAATGTAAGCCTTAGGAAGGCCCCTGAAGGCAAACGTGAATTGCAGGGTAAATAGCAATGCTGTCATGTGTGGTTACCCACAGTTATTCTCCACTGAACTGGACCAGCCAGTTTTTTTTAGGCCTTTTTACAAAGGGCCTTTCTTACCCACAGGATTACAACTGAATTTCAGCTGTCAAAAGCACTGGATTTAGAATAACAAAACTTGGACTTCAGCCCTAGCTCTATCATTGACGAGCTCAGTGAACTTAGGCCAGTTATTTTACCCTCTGAGTCTGCTGTCTTCTCTGAAATAATAAGATCTGGACTTCAGCCCTAGCTTTCTCATTTACTAGCTCTGTGAACCTAGGCCAGTTATTTTGCTATCTGAGTCTGCCGCCCTGTCTGAAATGAGAATATTCCAGGGTCTTCTTAACTGGAACAGAAATTTTCTTGGGTTTTTAGAAAGATTAAATGAACTCACAAAGGGAGAACCACTCAACACAATGCCTGGTGCACAGTAGACATCAAATAAATATTGGACCATTTTCTTTTATTCTATTTTAATTAATAAAGGATGGCTTTTGAAAAATTATTTCTGAGAGTCACATTTCCAATTACTTATAGCTTAGGCAGAGATATCTATGCAAGTCATTTTATAACAACTTCCAAAGCATTCTCAATCATCATTATCCCAATGAAAAGAGGTCTAACCCTGAGAATCTTCTAGTCAAGTTCCCTCATTTTATGGATAAGGAAACTGACCCAGAGAAGTTCTGTAAAACACCCAAGGTCACACAGATACATGGTGGCAGTGAGAACTGGAATCCAGGTCTCTTGCCTCATGCCGAGTGCTTCCTTCCTTTACCAAGCTGGCACTATTTCTTATACGCTACAGAAATGTACGTGCCAGGGCGCTTGTGAATCTGAAGGTTTAGGGGTGATTGTACTTTTTCAGTCAGCTCACTGGTCTGAGCAAATGGCCAAACCTGGCATGTACCCAAATCCCTACGGAAAAAGGACTACTCAATCTGACCAATAAATACTTCCAGGAATTTATGGGGGAGCCAAGAGCTAACTTTGAAGCTAACCTAGATCTGATCTTATACACTTATCCTCATAGCCCACAGTAGTCTGACTGTGTCCTAAATAGTTCTACCCAATGGTGACAAATGAGAGTCTAGACATGTTGGATGGAATCAAAATAGACTTGGGTGAATTCTAAGTTTAGCATATACTAGTTTTTCCCATAGGCATCTCCTCTTCAGGTTGGGCTCGCAGCTGAATCTTTAAAAGCAGATAATGTCATGTGGCATACTTCAGGGAATACTCCCCAGCCCCACTGATGGCCTGTATGGGATTCTGATGGAGGTCATTTGGAGCAATGGTTTCCAGAGGCCAGTCTAAAGGCTCGTGCCAGGCTGGCTTGCTGTACATCTAGGGAGTCCTCTGAGCAGACAGCTTTAAGAGAGCTTTACCCTCCCTGCCAGACTCCTTTCATGGAGATTCTCTCTCAGTCAGCCTATGGTGAGGTTTGAGTATCTCTATCAAAATCTTCTCAAATGCTTTGATATGCAGCTGTTGCACTAACTCAGGGTGGGAGGAGTTGGCAGAGATTTAAGGGACTGGTATAAATGGCAGTGTGAGGGTTTCTAAGCCAAGAGGATCACCTCATGGAATAGATGTAATATAAAAAACAACAGTTAAGCATCACCACCTTAAGCTACTCCTCCCTGCAGAGTCTAGCTTAACCGCCTATCCACCAGAATCCAGCCTAATACCTTGAGTATACCTCTATTAAGTATTTCACTCTGCCATGTGAAGGTTCCTGTCTTTTTCCTTTACTGGATGCAAGCTCCTTGAGTTGAGAATAGAGACTGACATATTCTTCAGTGACCCCTGTTCCTAGTGCTGTGTCTGGTGCAGGGTAGCAATAGCCTCCTTTCTATCAGGAAGTGGCATCATCTCTGCTTTGACTTTAAGCAAAAGATGTTGGTGTGTTTGGGGAGAACCTTACATCATTAAAAACTCAAAATTATTTTTCCAGGGAACTGGTCAGTCCCTGAACTCAATTTCTGTGAAACACATCCTAACCTGGTGACCAATAATAAACACTCACAGTGTCACCTTAGATGAGCGATGTGACCCCTGGGCTGTCCACATGGCTTCATAACTCTCAGAGTGATTCAGCCAGTGGCTGTGTAACAAACACAGGTGCTGATCTGGGAAGCAAAATGAAGCTAAAAGCTAGTGAGCCCACAAATCTACGGTAAATTAGACCCTAAAACAACTGGGATACTTTGGGAAGCGTGTAGTCTTCTGAAGCAGATTCATCTTCAGCTGCTCTGAATTAATTTGGAGATTTATAAAACTGAAATTTCAGAAAGAAAACAATGAAAGTGTCAGCTTCTGCTGACACCCAAAGAACTAAGTGCCTCAGCAAGTTATTTGCCATGATCCAAGAGACAATTCTACTTTTTATTGAAATGAAAGATAGTGGCAGTCTCAGTTGAGTTTAAACTCTGTTTCTCCTTGGCTGGGGCTCCGACAAGTCTGGACAATGCTAGCCGACTCAGGACTGGATCTGCCAGAAGTTTGTGGGACTAAGAGTAGTCTTGGGGAGAATTTATCTCAGGGGAGGAAGAGACAGTCAGACTTGACTGAGAAGTGAAGCCTCAGCAGTGGGAATGTTTTGGACACCTTGTTGCCTCTCCTTCACATTTGTCTCCTGAACTAATCCTTATGAACTCATGTCTTGGTATACGGAGGGGAGACAAATAGGGTGGGAATATGGTACTATATAGCACATAACTATTGAAATATCTACATAGTGTCTATAAAGCTGCACCTGGTCCAGACTGAAATGTAAAACTTTATCTTTGAAGCATTATGTGAATGGAGAAACTTGGTTCACAGCTATTCTAATGAAAACATGCGGTCCTCTCCAAATTCTTGGCATCCTTCCATTACTGGAAGTCCCTCATTCTTTCATCCTAACAGAATTCTCCCATCGACATAGTCCTGTCCTCACCATCCTATTCCATCATTCCATTCTCCTTTGCACAGAGCTTTCACAACATGCATCTGGCATGGCATATCTTTCTACCACAGGCCTCCCTTCTCCAGGGATGGTTCTTTTTCCTTGATTGCTTTACTCAATACATCTACTTAGATTTTTTTCCATCGTATTGTCAGAGAGGGGAGAGGTAAAGGAGTTAAGTAGGGGGGAAAAGGAAGAAAAAACTGTCAGAAAGTTTACCTCATCACAGCTTTCAATAAAAATTCCGTAGAGCACGGGATCCAAGCAGCCCTTTTTTGGTATCTCACTAAAGAGAAGAATGTAGTTTTTCACAGAACCCCATATAATATTGGACAGGGTTTCTTGATGGTTCCTGTGCAAAAACAGGCCCAATGTAGGTGACGGTAGCATGTATGGGATGGTTGCCAGAGTATGTGTGAGGGATGCATTGAGATGGCAGTGGCATATCGTAGCAGAAGCATCTAATAACACTCTCTGAAAAAAAGCAGTACCAGGGAAAGGCAGTGGCCATGCCCAGTGGCAGCATCAGTGCCCTGTGGAGGTGAGGGCAATACTCATGAAAGCAGTGGTACTGATGAGAGAGAGACAATCACTGTGAGCTCTGCCAGCAGACACAGGACACCTTCACATGGTCCACATACACTGGAGGCTTTGACAGCAGACACCGCTGAGTGCTTCTGGAGCAGAAGTTTACAAAGAGGACATACTCCCTGTGGTCAATAAAGGAACTATTTGAAGCACATGTGAGACACCCGTAAAAGCTGGAGGATTAGTGTTGGAGCTGGTGATGCTATAAAGCAAATAGCAAAAGACAGTGCTAATGTCACCATGTTTTTTCTGTTTTATGCCCTTCCAGAGAATAACACAAGCCAGGAAAGAAGACACATGGCTTAAAGACTCATAGATCACTTGTTACAAAAAGTTACAGTATGCAATCCAAACTGACATGCTGATATCCAAGTTTTCATAGCAAACTCTAGGCAAGAAGTTCCTCTTTTTAATTTAAATTATTTTTGGGAATCTCCATGAATCTATGATCAGAAACTCTATATTATGTGTGTGTGTACTCCCTGGTTCAGTGTTTTCTTACATGTAGCATATGGAATACATGCCCTCCATATAGTCCCTCAAAGCCACACTTCGGTCCCTTAGACTTTGAGTGCTTGAGAATTAGATGGATTTATTATAGTATTTGTGCTGTAACAACTATATAATCGGGAACAGATTTCTATCATTGGCTTATATTTCTTTGGCTAAAGATGGAATGATGGATGCATAAATATATGCAGACAAATATGGTTTAATATTCTTCTGCAGTATCTCTGAAGTAGCTAATAACATCAAGTTAGGCAGCCATTGGAAACATATTTCTTCAGTCTTCATTCTTTAAGTATCACTGACATTATAGAAAAATAAAAAAGAATATTAGAGTAGAAATCAATAGATTTATATCTGCAAATCACTGTGTATACTCAAACATGTTCTTCATTTCTCCCTAGCTCAACTCTCTCATCCATATAATCAGAGAATTGGATTGTCACTTAAATCCCTTTTGGTTCTAAATTTTTATGATTCTGCTTTTCTTCTGTTGC